ACCCATATGCTGCTGGACTTCTCCACAGGTGAGTTGTTGTATGCACATACATATATGCGATTGATGCAGATATCAAAAGCTATGTATCACTCGTATCTTTGCAGCCATGCAGTTGCATGATTTCAGCGAGATGCAGGCCTTTCCCACCAAGCTGCGCTACATGTGCATTTGCCTTTCAGAGGTGATCTTCATGGAGGGCTTCATGCGTAAAATTTACAATTTCATCAATGGCTTGGAGGTTTTGCACCTCATCGGCACCTACGAGAAGTGCGAAGAGGAGGAAGAGGAGATATACGAAGTTATCAATGTGCATAAACTCAAATCGGCCACGCCCAATTTGCGTGTGATCAATTTGTATGGCATTAATTTTATTGACGACTCGCATATAGATGCCTTCAGCTCCAATTGTATTCAGTTGGAGTGTTTGGCTGTGAACTTTTGCAACAAGGTGACTGGCAGCACTCTGAAAACACTAATACAGCGTTCGAAACGATTAAACTGCTTGCTAATGAACGGTACTAGTCTGAAGTCGGAATATGTAATGCAGGTTGAATGGGATAAATGCGCCTTGCAGGAGCTAGACATAACCGCCACTGATTTGTCGTCTGAATGCCTTATTGATCTGTTGACGAAAATACCAAATNACGAGGTAAGCGGTTAAGGGGGGCACAGTAGTCGTACCATCATATTGCATATGTGGGAACGATCATGACACAAATTTCAGAACAACCAGTTGACTTACCTCAACCCGATAAAGACCAATTACAATATTATAATCTAATAGTCTATTTCCACCAAAGGCTTAACTGAAGTTAGGAGCATAGGTAGGTTTCAAGAATTTTAACATGGGGTGATCGACAAAGTTTATATAAAATTTCATATCTTATTGTTACTGTTATTGGTAATAAAATACCGAAAAGTGGCGCAGTCTAAGTTTGGTACCAAAAAAGAAAAACATGGAGGACTATTTTTTATTAATTCAATATTTTTGCGCGAAATTTGAGACTCGGGGCTTTTCGTGGTTGCTGAACTCAAATCTGGTATCAGATAATGACAATTCTTATTCGCATATCAATATTGGATCTACTATTTATAACGGAAAAATTAAAATCAGAAACATAACTATTATAAGAGAAAAGAATAAAAGTCAATCAATAATTATTATATTAAGATAAAAATGTTTCGAGTCATCTATATTATTACATAAAAGTCCTTCATAATAATTATCAGAGAGATAAATGTTTTTAAGTCTTCAAAGATTTTTATTTTGAGACGTATATTATAAAAGTAGTTTTGTAATAATTATGAGTGGGAAACAATTTTTCAAGTCTTAAAAGACGGCTGATTCAGCCCCATTTCGGGATTAGTTGGAGACCAGCTCGGGGTTAGTTGGGGAGCAGT